ATAATAATAATATAATAAAACCATTCGATCGAATCATGGTAAACGTAAGCATAATACAGTGAAGGTGTGAATGGAGTTCGTCGTGGATGGACGGTATCCACAGCGAATTTCGCGTTTGACCGAATTCGCGGTCGCGCGTCATAAACCGAATGGTATAGTTCTGAAGTGCACTATAACAGGCGAAGACGGAATATATTCTTTTTCGTGTTCGGCATGTTTAATATATAATCGCACGGCGAAATACTGCGTAGGCGCAACGTAATATGAAAAACGTATAGGTAGCTGTAAAGCTTTGCGTCGACCGTATTCAATGCGGTCACGAGGAGACGAAGGGTTATAGGTGGACGTGTGATGAGAGGATTGGTAGGTAAACGGTTCATGAGATACCTAGTGTAACCCAGCCGTTAAAGAGGTTTTTATTTTTGTTTTTTTAGCCAAGAGTGCTGTATATACGACGTGTATAATATATAGTTTATGTTTCCTTTTTATACGCTGACTTTTACCATTCGCAGTTCGGAGAAGACGACGAGTGAATAAGTGAAAGAAAAAATGTATACCAATAACAGAGAAATTTAATATTATACGCTCGTTCTGTCTCTTCAGTGGTGGCAGCAACGATGACGCAGAACAAAAAACCTAAAACGGCTGTTAGACGATAAACAAAATATTATAATAATACAGACTATTTTAATATTATGGTATAATTTATTATAACGTAAAAGCTATTATATTTTAATGTGTACGTATATGTTTTACATTCGGTGTTGATGTTTTTAGTTTTATAGTGTAAAAAAATATTCAGATTTTAATTTTATGTTATCCGGAATAATAGAAAAACTACGTTCTTAATAATACCGGTTAACAAATATCGGAAACAGAGGATTTTATCTTTTACAGAAAACATGCAATTTTAAGTTCAAACAAAAGCGGATTAATATCACCGGTCTGAAAGATACTTACCCTTATATTATTTAAGCTTGAAATGCTTATTTAATACTTATTATTTATAAGGAATAAACTGATTAGATTTTTCGGTATTTTATACTTTTAGAAGTAAAACAAAAATTTAGAAAAATATCCCGAGTATAAATTAAAAACGTAGTCAATACGTTGCATCAGGGTTGAACAACAATCTTTTTTAAAAGTTTTTGTTTTTATTTAAGTTGGTCTAGCCTAGATTTAAAAAAAAATTTTTTTTCCTAAAATCTTAAGTTTTTTGAATGGCAAATACATATGTAACGAATTTAATTTTTTTATGAAAATGTTATCACGTTTTAAATTATAACCTATACCTAGTTATAATAGAAAATATTTATTAAAAGTTAAAACTCTCTGAAATCAAAGTCTTAATAATTCTTTATATTGAAATTTGTATGTGGAATTTTAAAAATGATTTGTATTAAATGTTTAAAAATGATTTTTTTTTCAGATTTCATTATTTCAATAACAATGTTATGATATAATATTATGTTTGTTCAAAAATTATCTGAATAAAAAAAAATGTTTACTGAAGACGAATTTATTAATGATTTTATTATTCCATTCGAAATGACAATTACTTACCAGGTTATACATCGTAATAATCATGATGGTACTTATAGTTATGTAGATGGGTTTTATGGTAATACATTTTTTTTTAGGATTCGCCCCTTTTTTTCATAAAAGACGAAGAAAAATATGAATATGACTGGTTTAAATTAAGTTGGATTATCCAGCTCTAAGCGTAATTTTAGACTGACAAAACTATTATCAGATATTTTTATTATTAAATTATTATAATTATTGATTGTACGTTATAGATTTCCAAGAAAATTACTCTTTATCCATTGTATGTATGCTGTATAATATGTAATAATATGTGTAATATATAATATACATATTATACGCTATATAATACGACTATCATAACATAATGAACATTTTATTTAACTAAGTTCCATGGATAACAAAAAAAATCCTATTAAAGAGAAATAAATATATTTCTCCCTCCCTCGCCAACAACGATGTGGTGAAAAGTATAAAACTCATCAATTCAACTAATGTATATATTATGTAATATATCATATATACGTAGAATGTATACGATGTATATTATACATACATACATATATACATATATATACATACATAATATATATTATACACAACAGTTAACACACACACACACACACACTATTTAGGGTTTAAAAACATGTAGTTTTTGGCACATTCTCTGTCCTCTGAACAATTACCACTTTAATGTGCCGCCGACGTTAATTTGTTTGGCAGGTGAATAAGTGTCGACTACCGCGCGAATGGTATACACGGCTTAACGTAAATGAGTTTTCCGAATGACCGAGTGTGAAAAATAGTGACAGTTAGTGAACGTTTGTTTTTACTGTGACACATAAAAATAGACTGCCGGCGAGAGCGTGCAGCGACAATATATTTTAAAAATGTCTCGCTATAACTATAGTAGGTATACGATTTAATACTATACAGTGTATAATACTTGTTGATAATAATTATAATAATTTATAACAAAATAGCTCTGATAGGATGTTATTTTATAATTTTTCGTGTAAATATAATTATTGTATTTGAGTGTTTACCCCAATACATTATTATAGATCTATATTACAACATTGTATATTCTATATCACTGGTCACTCTAGCCGTCGACTTCAGTATTATATATTTATATAATACCTAAAATACCTTATACTAACTACAGAACATGTATATTGTCATATGTTTGGTTTTAATAAATCAATTTGTAGTAGATAAATATTAAAAAAAAATCAAAGAAATTTTAACTTTTAGAGGCTAAAATATTGATATTTTCGAAAAATACATAGCAATATGCAATTTTTTTTACCACAACCTTATTAACATATATTATAATAGTATACACAAAGGGAGTTCAAAACTTTTCTGTAATATCAGTAAACCATTACGGTTGATAACTAATAATTAATATTAACAATATTTTAATTTATGAACGTTAAAATAAAATATCGAATTACATTATATTATTATCAAGAATTTATGATTATTTGAAATATGTTTAAAGGTTTTCACTTGCTTAAGGATGTTTTATTTGGCATCGCTGCACAAAAATAATATGCATTAATAAAGAATACACATAAACAAAAACAAAATATAATATTACTAATCACGTTTATATTGTTATCATTTTCGGCGTATATTAAGATGAAACTTGTTCAAACTATAAGATTTTTTTCTAGAAAAACTCAACATAATAATATTTTTCCGCCTATTGTTTTTAGAATTGAAGTCTGCTTTCAATGTAATAATAATAATTTAAGATTACAAAAAACTTTTCTTACATTTCATTGCCGCGTCCTCTTTACGGTGGTGGTTTCATTAAAAAAAAAAAAATCCAAGACGGTTTTACGTGACCAAAATATTATTAACATAAGGGATAAAAGTTCCGATTTTTTTTTTCTGGTACTGCGTTTGAAGCAATAACTTTTTTTAAACAACCCTTACAAACAAACAACTTACTGAAATGCAATGAAGGTTTAATTATAACAATAAAATTCCGAGTAGTTTTGTTTTTTGTTTTACTCAATTATCACTAACCACGTAATTATTCAATAAAAATATTACAACTATACTGACTGTAGTCATGCGTGTATATTATGTTATATTTATTATAGTAGAAATATTGTTCCGAAATCCAAACTTAAAATTATATATTATGAATTATAGTAGTCTGTGTTTGTATAACGATACGCGATTAGGATTAAATGGGTTTAATAATAAGTATATAAAGAATATTATTTTGTATATACTGACGCTTTGGATAGTAAAGGTTTTACGCAAAATACTGTAAATACTTACGTGTTGTACATAATTACCGTATTATAAAATATGATATTATATAATATTTTAATTATAATGTATGCCAATTACCTGCATTGGCTTTAAGGTTATTAACGTTTTGTATATCGTAGTATATCGTTAGCGTTTAACGATAATGAAGAACATTATGTTTATAATATCAACGGAAGTTTTGGTTACTGAAAATCATTACTGAAATATTTCACACACACAGTATCAATGAAGATCAGATACCAACGCGATTGCTTGTTTAAAATGTACAGTGGAACACTTAAGACGTATGAGTTTTATTATTTTTTTTTTTTTTTTATCATTATTATTATTATTATTACTATTAATAATAATAAATTAAATATTAATTTTACATAGCATTGTTTAATATCGACGTATATTATAGTATATTATTATATTATATATTGATCATATGATAATAATTTAATAACGAATATACCTTATATGTGTATAATATATAATGTTTTAGAACAACTATATATATTATATTATAATAATATATAAATATAATGAAATTTACAACACCATATCATTTCGTAACACGATTAATATATTTAATGTATATCTATTTAAATGACTACCATCTTCTAGAAAAAAAAAAAAACAATACAAATATATATTTTATTATAATTGTTTAACCACGAAACCGATTTATTATTCGGCACAAAATAGGGATATAATCAAATTTGGTCCTAAAATATAATAGTAATATTATGATTTATATCATTATTTAAAAGGTATTACGTACGATTAATAAAATTAGGCCAAAATTTAAAATTTTATAAAATAATGGTGTTTTGATGATAAGTCGGTTTGTTGGTGGTGTGGGAAAGAGGGGAGATGGATAGGTTTATTTATTATTATATGAATATATATACACATATATTTATATTTATATATATTCATATATATATTATATTATTATAAATTATTCGAACGTAATATTTCTATTTCTAGACCCTAGTAATATTTTAATAATAATAACATTAAAAATAATAATGATATATATTAAATGGTATAATCACTAATTACCATTATAATTTATATATATATATAAACGTTACGTATATTATTAATAATTAAAGGAATGGGAAAAAATATATAGAAACGTAAACGGAAAACGAAAATAGAATAATAATAATATTATCTACAAAATATTATTATAATAATAATGATAATAATAATATGTTTGGTCTGAGATGTCATAAATTATGAATGATTTGACGAAGGGCGCGCGTTACCCTCGTCATCTCGTCATGGTGACGGTGTCGGTGGTCGAAATTCATGAATCCCTGACGAATACGAACTCATTGTAATGATTCCAACGGCATTCCTCCGAGTCCACGCCAGGTTTGAGTTCGGCAGCGGATGTGCCACCAGCCGTGCCCGATCCACAACTGCCGGCCATATAGAACCCTTGTTCCTGGAGCATGTCGAACGCCTGTTCGATAGACGTGTGTTTCAGAAAGAACCTGCGCAATAATTACCACTACGTTAGTGTCAATATTTAAATTGTTATTATTTATTTTATTTTACCGAAATGAAAAAAATAATTATTTTCAAAATGTTTTAATAGAACTTTATTAACCAAAAACGATTTCCGATTTAACACGACCATAATATTATATAATACCATTATAATTTGTCACACTTATAACTTATAATTTATTAATACAATATTATGTTGTTGTGATGGTGTGTAAATTATTACGTAAATTTTTTATATTTTTTTCTGCATGCCGACGACATTTTTTTCTAAATTACAATTATAATTGAAATTCAACCAAGATAATACGAAACGAATAGGTAGTAGGAGTCTGCTAACGTCTGATACGAATTCATATAGACGCTTGTTACCTCTATACGAAGAAAGCAAAAGCAACTTTTGATTTTGCAGTAGACAGTAGATTATTGTGTTTTTTTAATAATAACAATTATTAAAGGTAGAATTAATTAATTCATGTATTTTTAAAACTATATTGCCTACTTCTTTGTTATTTATAGAAATAAGAAATTCAAAAAAAAAAAGTTTTGTCTGTGATAATCATTATACGTAATAATATTATACTAGTGCGTCAAAACAAATATAATAGACGCTCGAAGTTAACCACAAAAAAATATATATCTATTGTTTATTAAAAAACCATCTCGTATATTATTATATTTGTGTATAAAATAAAATTATCTCTATGATTACTGCTCGATTACGTTTTCGAAATTACCTTTTGGCGAGTTCGTAGTATTACAAAAAAAACAAAATGTATAGTTTGAAAAGCGAACCAATTTATGTAAAGGGGTAGGCCGCCAAAAAATAGTATACAATTTTGATTAATCGCCGTTTCCTTCAAGATGAGGTAAAAAACGCTGTCACGTATCTATACTAATATGTATATAGTACGCACACTAGATTTAAAAGAGCACTACACCCTGTCCTATGTACTATTTATATATACTTATGTATTTTATTTCATACAGTTTTTAAGCAAAATAAAATGTTGCTCTCGCTATAAAAATACACATAACCATTACCTATAACAATATATAAGCCTGACTTGTGACATGCGATTATTTGGTATATATTGTGTGGAGGAGGGTGGTTTCGAAAACATAATATGGTGGCCAGTTGACTTTACCAACGCACAGATTTAAGGGCTTGGGACTATACCGACACAAGTTTGGCAGTAAGTAGTAACCATTGCAGATAATAAAAAAATGTTTAGATTATCAACTCAAATGCATTGTTCATGAATGATAAAAATCGTGTTGATTAATTTCATCTTTCAAGATATAAAATGTTGTAAATATAGGTATGCCAGGTTTAGATTTTAGGGGTTTACCATGGTTAAAACGATAAATCAGTATTAATAATTTTAAAACAGCTATTTTATTAATCGTTCATTATTTAAATCAGTATATTAAGGAAATCATACAAACTGTGTAGATTAAAATGATACAATTATTTAATATTTATTAACAATGGTGATATCGTTATATTATGTACTGTTGCTGGTGCCATTGGTGATGTACACACCGACAAGCGACAGCTACTGTAAATTTACGTTTATATAGATGTATTATTAGTATAATAATATTAATACTAAAATCGTTGTATGCCAGGTATTTAAAATAGTACGTGATTGTTTGGTGGGACTGTGGGAGTTATTTATTGATTCTAAAACTATTCCCAACATTTTTTTTCACACAAAATTTAGAATACCTGACAAATACTATCGTTTAACACTCGAAACACACACACACACACACACATATATATATATATACTGACATATTGTATATTTTTTAATATAACCGCAAACAGACGTCAAGCTAAACATATTTATTTTCATTAAAACACGTTTTTCAAATTTATCGTTAATTTAGTTGGAGTAAATGTCTCACAGTAATATCAGCTTGTGTCCTCGCATAATCAATATAAATTAATGGTTACACAGTCACAATCTACAAATTAAAAAAAATATGCTTGTGTGCAACGAAGGAAAAGAAATCAAACTCGATGGAAAACTCGAGGGAACCATATATATATTATATAATTATTATTTATACATATATATTGCTATCATCATGATAAACTAACACGTAACAGTGACGACTACGGTGATAGCAACGGTGGTGATACCGAAGACACAGAGTCTAGTAAAGGCTTATAGTACAATTAGCGTACAGAACCCTTTCCTGTTGTTTGGATAGACAATCGCTCGAACGAGAACAATGGCGGATATTTGTGAACAAAGGGAACACTTTACGGACATTTTTAAGCTCATTAAGGACGCGCGTATCCGCAAAGGGAACTTTTACAGAGTCAAAATTAAACAAAATAATGGTAAAACAAAACATTTGGACGAAAACAAACTTTTTTTAAATAACAATTGCCATTTGTTTTTTAGATGATTTTGTCGTACATTCTCGAACAAAATAACATTCTATAACAAAGCAGTAGTGAAAATAATTGTAAAAACTAATTATGCATATTTTCTCATATTGGTTTATGTAGATTTCATTCAATTTACTTAAAAAATGTTTAAATTCATTTTTTCCCACATCCATTAACCTTAATTTGATTTAATTACCTGTCAATACCAATAAAGCTATAATTATATCTATAAATATGTTTTTGTTTTTATTTATTTTCAATTATTCTCGTATTTTATAAACGAAAACTTCATCATAATTTAATGGGATGCCTTTATATTATATTATTTATATACCCTTTGGGCTTCGACTATATCGGTTAATAATTAATATATTATATTATTTACAAATAATATTATTTTATATAGTTTAATTTTATATTACATAATTGGTATTTACTATTTTGGTCTAAAAAAACTGTGAATTTAATTGATTTACGTATACACAGAATGTAATAACGAAATATTTAAGTCATTTGTATATATATAGATTTTATGTTATATTCTTATGCACGTAAGAAATTTATTTAATTAAAATATTTATTATATAGATTGCCTTATTCAATTCATTATATTATACAATAAATTATGTATGATAAATAACAATCGATATATTTTGATTTCACATCATATAATATTATATAATTAAGTAAGCTAAGTATTATAATAAAATTAGATGATCTTCAAAGTAGATAAGTAGACTTAATTTTACAATATTATACATTTTTTTTAAGTGAAATATCATAAAAAATGAAACGCTACAGTGTTATAGGTACATAGAAAATGTTTTCTGTATCTTTTGGGTAAATAATTTATACATGTAAACTATACTTCCGGTTATTGCAACACGTGTTTAACGTCAGTGCTCCCCTATTTTGGGCGCTAAAGTAGGTTATTAATAGGTGAATTCATACATTGCCCGTTGAAAATATTTATTTTTTATGAACAATAAAACAAGTTAACAACGAAATAGTATGTATAATATAGACATAAAGATATACACATTGTCATGTTTAAATGTGTAATACAGTTTATTTATAATAAGAAACATTTATAGATTTAAAAATGCCTAAAATAATAATATATATTTATTTAAAATATCGAGCAAGTAAAAAATATTACAAATAACTTCATGTCATTTTATAATTATTTTACACCATTGTCGTTGTCGTATATCATCGAACTGAGAAGAAAGGAATTCATTTCCAAATTCGGGGACGCATGAAGGATTCAATGGTTGCGAGGTTCAAGAACGAAAGGGGTTTGGAGTACAGGAATTTATAACGTCATACCCGCGTCATATATATTATATACATGTATACGTCACAATGTGTAATCGCACTTATAAATTTCAGTCCGAAATACTCTCGCTACGTTCACATAGTAGCATATGACGTGTCAAGAAAAGATTATAAACGGTCCATTCTTGTGGAGACATGCACATTATAATATATAAATATATATACGTATAATATGCAAATATGTGTTTGTACAGAAAATTTTCGGAAAATAAGATCAACAAAATAAACATATATAGCAAAATCTCTAAATACCGGACACTTTCGATCGCTAAAATGTTATCTGCTAATCAGGGTATTAAGTTTGTAGGAAGTTTTTAGTTTATTCGCAAAATAACGATCGCTATTTGGAGTTATTCAATATTTAGAGATATCTGTACTCCCGTACACAGGGCTAAATTAAACCATCCGTAGGCATCTCGAGAACTTAGGATTCATTCTTATCGATATAATATAAAGATTTCATAAGTAAAATAAAAAAAAAATATTAGTCGTACATTAGTAACTATGGTCTTAAGTCATAAGCTTTGTTTTAACCAAAAGCCCTGAAGGTACTTTAGCTCATCGTTGATACTGATACCGTTCTAATGACGGGCGTCATATGTAATAGAAAATATACCAACTTTGATATATTTCATAGTTCTTATTATGTGAAATATATACCAATAAACGATTTTTTTTCATATTTAACTGTACCTATATTATAGTAATCGTTAGAAAAAAACTAATGTTTCTGTGATTAAATAAAATACAAAAAAAAATCAAAAGATAGGTGTGTATAAAAAAAATAATATTTTTTTTTATTTACAATAAAGTTATATGAGTTAAATGATCATATGGGATGTAAGTTTTTAAAATCAAATAGCATTAATCATCCGTGGCAAGACTTCGGTCGTCAAATGACTCGTGACCAGAACGGAATCTTAAATAGCATGGAACAAATCGGAATACCTTTAAAGTTCTTGGGCAACTCGATATTAACAGTGACAGTAAGTGGATAGGAATCGGATAGAGTTCTAAGGATATAAATATGACAGTAACTTTACATACTACATATTATAACATTATAATTTAGTATAATATGCAAAAATTCGATTCTGATGCGGTTGTGGTTTGCTGTGTTATATCAACGACAGAAGCTATTTTCCCTATCACGAATGGTGTACATTTTTCTATATATTGGTTTAGAAATTTAGCATAAAAATATTCCAATGTCATTTTTTCACAGATTATAACTGGATAAACATGTCAATTAATAAAAACTAATAAATATTTTTAGAAAAAATTAAGAAACTTTACAGGGTTTTCATTTTAACAAAAGGTAAAAAATATTTATTTACATAAAAAAAATATCTGGTTTTACCTTTCTTGCACAGAAAAAAAATGCAAATTAACATTTTTGAATAAAATATAACAAAAGTAAATAATACATGAGTTCGTCAAAAAAATATTTTATATGTAGGTAGTTGAAAAAAGGTCATATATAGTTATTGTAAGAATAGTTTGTTTTGTAGGTTTGAACAAGTAAATTATACGAATATTGCGTCACAAATTTTATAAGAAGTTATTAGAAACACATGTTGTTTTTAAACATACCTATGACAATATTCGCCAGTATGAAGGAAGCTAAGAGGACTTGGCCACTAAATATTATGTCAAGTATTACTTTAATTATTCCAAATATATAATTACTAAGTAAATACCATTTATTTAAATTTATAAAATCAGTTTCAATAAAAATAATTTTATTTTATTTTATTTGTATGGTATACAAACGACGAGAATAGTTGTTTTTCCGTAAACAATGTGGTATAAGAATAATATGACCCGGACTATATGATATTTTACCATAGATGTGTATGTCTATCAACTATAATACTCCATTCGCGTTTAATAGATATAATTGTAAAATAAATATTAAATGTAAATCATGTACGAGTACTTAGTTTATGTAAATTATAATTTTTATTTCTATATCGATAACTACAGTTGGAGAAACGCCCCACGTAGATAAGGTTGTTTGCATTTATGTCTACGAATATTATTATGTATATTACATGTATTCAATAGAATAAATCATCAAAAGTATTGGCTTTGTAGTTAGTACGGTATTACATGCATATATTTGAATTGGCATTTTCGACAAGCATAATATTAGCATTATCAATGAAAAATACTTAATATTTTCATAAAAGATGAAACACTCAAACAGCCAGTTTCATCTTGAAATTTAAAATATTTTTATTCGATCGCTTTTTCAAAATAAAATACTATTAATAGTAACTAATATAAATATATACTATTGCATAGAATACGCATTTAGCTTGTTATTTTATTATTTTGCCTTGACTCTCGACGAAAATAAATATGTTATGTGTACATTGTACATATTTGGCGAAAAAGAAACTATACATCAAATATAATTTTGTATTATTCTCTAAAAGGTATTTTATCAAACGCTCTGAAAGTCTGAAATAATCTTATTTCAGTGTTTTCGTTGATCACGCACACGCGTATACGGCATATTATATGCTATTTCTTGTAAGATGTTCTCTAAAGAATAAGAGGCTCAGAATAATGACCACGGCCTATTGTGTTAAATTTAACAAAAGTTTGTTTGGCGTAGGTATTAACACAATAATATTCGTTTTCTTTTAAATTTAATAATAAATTTACTTTATAGACTTACATGGAAATCATAAGAAATTCACGTCTACTATATTTTTATTTGATCAAAACCCAATAATTGATACATATTATGCATATTATACTAGGAAAATAGTCTATCTTAAATTGTAACACCTAATATTTTTCCGTTTTTATTTTTAAGCAATTTATTATTTATTAGGCATGTGAAACTATAATTAAATTAGATAAAGTATTAAAAAAGCTACAATAATCGTTAAATTATTAATCATACTGAGAAACTAAATCCATAGATTAACTTTTAGAATTTTTAAACAAATCAATTTTCAACCCTAGTTTTTAAAAGTTTCAAACACATAAATTAAATAGTTATAATATTAAAAACAATAATACTAGTAAAACCTATGACCTATAAAATATTTATTATGAAGAGGTAGTTATTTAACTTTTCTTGTGTCTCTAACTTCTACTCATTTTTATATTTTAATCGATAAACTTGTATTTTACAAAATTATTAATTATACCCTTTTATTTTCCTTTATCTTATTCACTTATGATTATAATTTTACTTTTTTCGGTTTATTATTATTATAAATAATATTGTTTCATGATATAATTTTCTTTCCTCTTAAATATAATAAAATAATAAGTGATTATTATTATTATTTTTAATTTATAATAAATAATAATATATTATATTTAACTGTAATAACACAAATTCAATGAATCATCACAGTTACTTAGTTTCATATGTATTTATAGTTTAATCAAGTTTTTTGTGTTTTCATTTTATTTTTAAAACATTTCAAAACGACTTTAATTATTATTGAATGTAGTTCCTTGACAGATTCAATAAAGTTTATATCGTTATTCGCTGTTTACTAAATTAAATTTCAAGTAATTTCATTAGTGGTCGATGGACGACAGCTGTTAGTTATATGTAGCTTTGTTTGTTTTTTTCTTTTGTTTTGTAAAGATATCGTAATTAGACGGTTTTTGGTCCGTCCATGGAAGAATATATAACGTTTATTGCATATAGGTACCTATATAGTTAGTAATTGTCGTTTACAAAAAATCGATTTTTACTAAACTTTTAATGCCGTCATTATTATAGAACTACGACAAAACCTACATCAAATAAGCGCAAAAAAAGCAAATTTTAACGGAGCGCAAATAAATAACACATCGACAAAATAATGACGACAAAAAAATATACCCAGGAAGTCTTATGAAAGGATCATTTTGTAATGTTTAATGTTTGTCCTGGAGTCCTTAAGCAAAAAAATAAAAACAAAATAGAGCTTTTACGACCAATTTTATTTTTGCGTGTATATACGAACATATAAACGTATAAATAATTATTACCGTACGCATTTCTAAATGAGACATGTCAAACACATGTTGCTTTGAAACCTATTAAAATATTCATTTCATAGGCGTTTTCGCTTAAAAGCAGCTTTTATAAACTATAGGTGGTCAATTTATAATAATAATAATAATATAATGTAATGCCTACAGGTATTATGTCCAACAGTATACCTTATGCATAAATATAATACCCTAGTGTACTCGAAATCATAACGTTTACCAATAGTATATACCAATAAAGTATTTATTTAAACACACGCATTAAACTTGCAAACCAAATAGACATATACCTACTCAATTTCGACCGCGATTATTGGTAAGGTTGGGATTCAGCGGTGGTATTTCCTTGTGTTTACGTGAACACAACGCTAAAACGGTACTGGCTCAAGGTTGGTAACGGTCCACGTCAGATTATAGGAGAAACATGTTAATAAGGTCAGTTACCCAATTTTTACACATAAATATATGACAGTGTTGCTTATATATCTACAACCAAACATTTTTTTTTTCAAATAAAGTTTCCTAGCGCGTGTGTGCTGGAGTAATCAGTGGTATAATTTCAATAAAAAAACTGAAGTCTCCTATTTTTTTTTTAGCGAGTCCGCAAATCGAATATAATGTGGGTGTTAATTTCAAAAGTGGGGGTGCTAATCATTCACCGAACACCCCCTCTTCTAAATTGTACCTATAGGGGTAAAACGTTAAATATAATATTATAATATACTCGAGTAATAATTATAACAAGTACGACGACGATGATGATAATGATGATGATGATGATGATGATAAATAATAATGATGATAATATTATGATATCGTCACGACGATTTCGGTGACAAAAAAACATATAGTGAACACCCACCTGGCCGTGTACCGATCCGTGTCGCCGTGGTCCGGGTCCCTGCTCTCGTTGAGCGAGTCGCCGAACACGTCGCGACACAGTTGCACGCGGCCGCATATCAGTATCCGGGGTATCTTGCGGAAGTTGACGTCGGACAGCCCGTCCCGGCCGAATGCGAACGTGCCGCGATAACCGACGGTGATGTAGCCGGGCCTCTGTTCGCGGAGCCGCTCGGTGAGACCGTCCAGCCGGTAGTAGGCCGCTTCAAGCCGGAGCCGCTCCTTTTCCCGAAAGCTCTCGGGAAGCGACAGCTTGCCGTCCCGCAGGAAGTCCAACACGTACCGGAACAGCACGCCGTCCCGGTCGATGAAGTACCGGCCCTTGCTGTCCTTGGGTAGCGGGTCGAGCCGGCCGCTGAACCGGTCGGCCAACAGCGACGGTTGCGCTTGCACCAGCGTGGACGCGGCCGTGGTGTAGAACACGCCACCGACGTTCAGGTCGACCACCTGGTCCATCGCCGCGCGATATCTGTAGTTCTCTCAGTGACGACGACCTAGACGAATATTATTCTCAGTCACGAGTACACGGAGTCTCCGCTTGGATTGTGCTCTAGAGACACGCGAGCTCGCAGACACGCACCGCGTAAATATTGTCGCGACAATTGTTAAAAAAACAAAATTGTCAATGTGGCGTGTGCAGTGATGGCCACCACTAGTGTCGCGATGCCGTAACGGTCGTATGTTTTACAATCGATTGTATTGTCGACGTAAACGCGACGATTACCTATGCGACACGGCGGGCGATAATAAAATGATGGCAATAATAACAATTATTTTATACGCTCGTCCGCGATGACGACACACCAACTGCAACCACCGCCGCCGCCGAAGCCGCCGCTACCACCGGTGGTATACGCTGACTGACCGGAACGCGAAGCGCACGCCGCTGCCGTCTCACTACTCTCGCGCCGCGGCGGTATATAAGTCTAACCGCCTCGCTCCACTCGCCCGACTCTCGCCCGGTGGCGCGCGCGGGTGACCGCGCTCGTCGCGCGTAATCAATATACACCGCCGCCCCGTCACATGCAGTGTCCCGTCGCCGCCCCGCGATCACGACGCTTGCGCCGCAGTCGCGCTCGTCGCATCCGTTGCCGCCACGGCCGACCGACGTGATCGGCGCAAGCGACGCATCTTCGCCCGACCGAGCGCCGGCACACGCGTGCGACACGCTTAAATTTAATTAAAAAGAACTACCGCGAGATACGAGACTGCCTGTTCCGCGGCACGACGATAGTATTAGGAAGGCTATGTGCGGACCACACGAGCCGCCGCCACTGATTTTCCTACCGATGAGGAAAACAACGCGGTAATATTTCATAACAATGTCGCAGTCGTCGTCGTTATTATCGTTACAACTGTCGGCCACCGCAGTCGCGTCCCCAGGCGATGTGCAGGGTCGATGAGTGGTCCCGCTGAGTTCCCTGGACACATTGTTATCGCCCTGTTATATTCCGTAGTCGGAACTGGTACGTTTCCGAACGTGATCAGATCGTGTTAATGATGTGTGCTCGGAGCTGACGATCTGATGCTAATAGTCGCGGCTTTTTATCACAATATATTGTCGTACGAGACAGCCATTACAAGCCGTGTCATAAGTCATAACACCTATTAAAAATACGCCGACCGCCTCTTCCACACTCCCTCTCACCATTTACCGGTCGACCCGTAGTTTGGTTCTGTTGCTTCTAAATCCGACAACGGTGACAAGAGTCGACCGATAATCGTAAAACCAAACATCGTTATTGAAATTTATTTACCGTCTTGAATTTAACTTTTGTTAATTAACCCACTTTTTACCGTTGTTATTGCATGTACTTAAAAAAAATGTTTCCCGAGACCTATAATACTGTCTCTATAATGATTATAAGTAACAGTTGGGATACGTTATTACTGTATTATTTGTACAAGTACGTTTTATCCCTAACCTACTTTGATGCTCTAATTATATTATATATTTAATCACTTTGCAACAGTAATTAACAAAGAATGAATAATTACTTGTACATAATTATTGATCCAAAAGCTTACTTTTAAATTGAATTACAATATATCGGTAGATATATCTTCGCAACTTTGAAACTTTCATCTCAGGTTAATGATCCATGTCAAAATGTCTAAATTAACTAATTTAGGTACTAATGGCGTATTATATTGTATAGATAGTAAATGTTTTTAAATAAAGCGCGATATATATTAAATAAGTCAATATAGTATGTCTCGATAGACTTTGGTGTAGTTAGGTACATTGTAATAGATATTACAGTAACGAGCATTATTTAGTAGTTTATGAAGTCCGGTATGCCATCGCATAACTGTATATCGCAAGTCCGCCGATGATTATACATTTATACGTCACATTTACCACAATAATAATTATTATTAGATTATCCCAATCGTTTGAGCGGAGAAACAGCGATGAGATTCGTATAACATAGTACTCTTTATATCATTGCAATATAGTTGTAACAATATACACAGATCGATTTCTGATCTCGATGACAAAATAGTCATTTAATTCCACTCGACGTAAACGTTGTGTGTCACGTAACGAAAAAAGATGAAAGCCATTGAATTTTCAATATTAAACGACCTATTCACCATCGTCAAAGACTTAAGTTTCACCGCACACTATATAGGTACATAAATATACTAACACTTTGCTATATATTTATTAGTTGTTATTTACCTTTGCCTATATACAATATACATACTAGAACGATTTACATGTTACTGACGCGTCATTTATGCCGCACTCTGCGATTTTTGCTTAGGTCAGAAGAACACGGGAACGTAGAGTACGAGTATATACAAACCATTGATATAGCTAATCAGTCGAGTTTTGTTTGTAAAATAGAGACAACAGTCATCTCTATATTTTTAAATAACATATTTAATTTAATTTACTATAGGTATAATAACCTATCTTATAGATGAATCATAATATATTTAATCACTTCAACTCGTACTCCGCTACACCTGTGATCTTCAAAATACTACTCTCAAGAACAGGCAGGCACAGCGCCAATGAGGGGCAAGGTGAGGCTCTAGCCCCCCTCCCCCAAAAACAATTCAGCTCCTTCGCCAGCCCCGCCCTACTAAAATATATGTACGATATAATAAATTCATAAAACATTATTTTTAAAAAAGCTACATCAGAGAATTTATAAAATATACTTTTTTTAAATTAGTAATACATATTAAGTAAATACTTTCGTATTTTCGAAGATATATGTTTTAAGTTTTTGCTGTTATAAAAAACGATTTAATAATATTAATATTTTGTACACAAAAACCGAAGAATATTATTAACTTAATTTAATGTTTGTTGTATACAGGTAAAAATATTTTTAGTTTACTTATTATTTTTAATATGTTCAATCAATACACTAATATTGTAAGAAGTTACTTAATAATTAATAAAAAGAAAGGATTTCTTTAAGTGTCTACGTTTTATTATATATCCATGAACTATTTTAACCTTCAAAATCCAACAAAAAATATAAAGTAGATTCTTTAATACATAATATACTATGCAAATACCAATTTAAAAATGTATTGAACTAAAAACTTAAAATTTACTAGTTAAATATTGGGTAGGACGGGTAGGTAATCACAAATTTTTATTTAAAAAAATATTATTCCTACTGGTATTGATGCAATTTTATACATTTTTATTAACTATTTTAACGTTTTAAGATTTTCAATCATTTAGTGTTTGGTGTATAAACAGATATTGTATAAAATATCAATATTTAGTTTATTTAATATATTTGTCACTACTAAATAAATTGAATTTAGTATAGATTATAATAATTTAATTAATGAAGTTTGAACAAATAACATCTTCAGTCTTTTTACGGTGGATTAACCTACTAATACTATCTAATAAGGAAAAAATCTACTACAGTTTTAATAAAATATGTTTTAAAATTTGTAAAATAAGAAAAAAATTATTTATTTATTTATTTATTATTACCTACCTTTATTGAGTACCAATCACTGGATGAAAATAAACAAAAGTATCTCAAATCATTGCATTAAAAGTTGAGTAAAACAAATTCATCTGTTCATAACTAAACTCAATTACTTTAATTTATATTTATGAATTGTCAGTAAAAGAAACATAATCATTCATTCACAAAGGTATGTAATAAAGAAATTATCATTTTTGTACATCATTATTAATATAGTTGTTGAAGATCTGTGATCTAACATTTTCATACATAAGGTACACAAAAAAAAATTATATTTTATTTAAATAACCTCAGTATTTGTTGAAAAAACCTTAGCCCATGTAAAAAAAATATTTGCCCCGTTCTGCCCCCCCTGAAAAAAATTCTAGTGCCGTGCTTGAGAACAGGGTTACTCAGATAATAGTGTACTATATAATTATATTAATATTTAGTCATATGAATAAACCTTGTAATATGTTACTATAAAATCGTTTCTATTATGTAAATTTATGAGCGCAGATCATAAGTTTTTAGGACTTGTAAAATATAACTTAGAAAACTTTATTTGTATTAATTCAAGAACCCGGTCCTTAAGATCGGTTCATTTAGTGGAAATAGCTAACCAACTACTCCTTAACTAGATAAAATTAGTTATAAATATCGACAGCCACTTGGTTTTAATAAACAGATAGGTGTATTGCAATACTACACTTCTTTATTTTTTATATAGTTGTGATACTATATAAAGAAAATACAAATATAGACATACATTTCCGGCTGTGTTTCTTTCGTTATACTACATTTCCTCAAATCCTCACGTCGGGTGTGTACAGTAAAGTTTAATATTTCAGGTCATGCCTCGCAAGCAGTCATTTTGAAATATAATTATAGTGGTATTCTATTCACCTCGGCTTTCAAAGACAGTTTTTCACAGCGACAGTGGAACTTCTTCTTCCTAGTCATTCTGACGAAACGTCATATATATTATATAGTGTGTGATTCTTTTGTCATATGAACTTTTAGGTACGAAATTTCGAGAAGTAATTAGTCAAAAAACGTTTAAATAGTTTTAAAATAGTTTTCAACATTTAAGAACATAATGTTTTACATTTCGATTATTAATTATTCTCGGAATTCGAAGAAAAAATCCAAAAATGCCTTATATTTTGTATTGACAAAACATTCGTGATGAATTTATGCCATGTAATATACAACTCCCCTCCCTTCAACTTGTTTTCTGGAAACCGTAGAAAACAAAATTATTTTTATACTCGTTGAGATCAATTTATTCGTATTTATGCGAATGTACAATACGATATTATAAAAACGTATTTAATATACAATATTATAACATAATGATTTGTGTTAGAAAAAAAGAATTTTTCAAGTTAGTTTATCACAATAGAAAAAAAATGTGAAGGATTTGGTTAAATTTCATATTTTTGAATTATATATAATCTATTGCTTTACATAACTATTTTAATATGAAATCAAGATTTTAATTAGATTTATGACATTTTTACTGTGACTGATCGATTCTACTTATTCCATTTTACATAATATACAAGTTTTTAAAATATAAATCGATGTCGTAATAAATACGATAATTGATATAAGTACCTATGATTATTCGTTAATGTTTCGATTGTACAAAAAGCTCTAATTTTTTAAATTTTTAAAACCTTATTTTAAATTATAAAATTATCTTTTTCAAACTAGAATCAACCGTTAGAACTGTACTTTATCAAGCAGATAATTTTTTGAAAATTTCAATGTATTTAAATAACATTTTAAACGATTAGTATTTTACTTAGGTATTTTATTTTGTGTACCTAAGGATAATATGTCCATAATAATTTGTTTGAAATATGTGGGAACTAAATGGATTTAAAAATTAAAGTATATAAATAATATTTATCTTTAAAAATTTTAATATTAGGTACTTAAAAACATTTTCT